TGGGCCCCAATGATTTTGATTTCATTATTGTGGTTGGCATGGCAATAGAATGGTCATTTCATTTTTATGTGGGGTAAATTGCAAGGTTGGTCACTAAAAGTACTAAAAAGTTCACGTTTGATCACTAAAAGTATTTTTTATTCCATTTGTGGTCACTGAAAGTGGTTAACGTTTCACTTTTGGTCACTCTCCGTTAACACCGTTAGTATTTAGCTGACGTGGCTAACATATATGCTGATTCACCCATTTTTAACTCTCCACATCATAAAACCTCACCCGCCACATCAGCATAACCCAACCCATAATCTGGCCTTTCCATCTCAATCCACGCAGCCCAAAAAAATCCAACCAACCTTTCACAAAAAAAAAAGATTAAACCTTCTGTTGCAATCCCTAACTCCCTCAATCCTCCAATCCACGAATCTCCATCTCACACACCAATCCCCCGAGCAGTTCCCTTCCCCTCCGATAAAGCATCGCAACCCAAATCCCCTGAGCAGGTCAGGGTCGAGATACTGTCCAAATCCCTCCCCTACATCCACCGATTCGGGAGAAAAATCATCGCCATCAAGTACGGCGACACCGTCATGAATGAAACACCTGAAACTTAAGGTCCTGATGGTGGAGAAGTCGGCGATTGACTCACTGGCTCTAGTTCTCAAGCAAGAGGTGGTGGAGAAGGCCGAGGAATCGAAGGAGTGGAGGAGCTCTTTGCGGCGGAAGCGAAATTCCACCGATGATGGTTCATTGGGGTTGGAAAATGATGAGTTCTCAATCTCTTAGCTCTGGAAATAGAATACCTGATATCCAAATTCAGAGCTTTCTCTCTAGCTTTCTCATGGTAACATCTAAATCCCATCATCCCATATTCCTTTTCTTGTTCGTCCATTTCTAGGTTTGTTTGTGTTCAACGTTGGATTTGGGAAATGGGGTTGGTTCTTTCTCATGGTTGAGAGGCTATGGTTGATCACGGGGAAGGTTGAGCTACCAGTCTAGGAGGTGCCAGTGTGGGCAGAGAAGGAAGAGGAGAACGGCGTCATGGCAGGCGGTGGCGGCGGAGGATGGCAGGGGATGGCGGTGGAGGATTGGGTCGAGTCGGGTTGGGTTAGGGGTTGAATAGGTAGGGGTATATAGAGGGTCTGACGTGGTGGGTTAAAAATGAGTGAATCAGCATTTCAGTTAGCCACGTAAGCAAAATACTGACGGTGTTAACGAAGATTAACGGAGAGTGACCAAACGTGAAACTTTTCACCATTTTCAGTGACTACGAATGAAATAAAATACTTTTAGTGACCAAACATGAATTTTTCAGTACTTCTAGTGACCAATCTTGTAATTTACCCTTTTATGTGTGTTTCCGGATTTAAAGTTGCTGAATTAGTGGTGGAATGAGCTCTTTTGTTAGAGGGTTTAATGGCATCCTTTTGAGTTGGGACTACTACAACACTCAAAATAGTCGTAATTTTATGTTACGGGATAAATTCAGGATATACAATTTTCTCGGTATCAAATTACATATTTTTTATAGTCATTCTTTATTATCGTTCGCCATCATCACCCAATGACAGACCCATATGTTTTTTTATCATACCAACCTGCGTAGTATGAAATTCTAACTACGTTACGATATTAAATGCATGAATTGTAAGACTATAATTTATAAGTGTAGGCTCACGATTATACGAACAATTGGTCTTTCACGCTAGTACAATCAAAATGAGAAACAGAAACCGTATTCTTAAGCTCAAAGATGCAAATGGGAATTGGATCGACAAGGCACAGGATCTCGACGAGCATGTCAATTAGTTTTACCGTAATCTCTTCACTAGCAAAGATGGGGAATTCGACTTGTCACTACTGACCGGGTTCCCAAGGCTGGTCTCAGAGGAGATCAATGAAGGTTTAACAGCACAAATAACCAGAGAAGAGATTCGAAAAGCAGTCTTCCAGCTAGGAGCAAACAAGGCACCAGGACCTGACGGTTTCCCAGGACATTTCTTTAGGAAATTCTAGAACATCCTGGGAAATATTTTCTGTGCAGAGATCATCAGCTTCTTTCAGACAGGCATCATGCCGGACAAATGGAATGATACTTTCATTACGCTCATACCTAAGGTGGAGGCACCATAGGTGATCGGACAATTCCGACCCATCAGCTGTTGTAACTTTCGCTATAAAGTTATTACCAAAATCATGACCAACAGACTTCAACCTTGGTTACCTGACCTGGTAAACGAGCTCCAGTCTGCCTTCACAGGCGGACGACAGATTCAAGACAATATAATTATTGTCCACGAAGTTCTCAACCACTTCAAGAAACATAAAACGAGCAAACGTAAGGACATGATGATGAAGCTTGATATGAGGAAAGCCTACAATTTAGTGGATTGGGAGTTCCTCATTAGTCTCCTGAGAGCTTACGGATTCAATGAAGTCTGGTGCGGGTGGGTCGATCATGCATCTCGACAGTGAAGTCAAACTGCTATTCAATGGGGAACCCTCGACTGAATTTCAGCCTTCGAGAGGCATCCGTCAGGGGGATCCCCTGTCCCCTCTTCTCTTCATACTTATGTCTAATGCTCTCTCCTTCCTGATCGAGAAGGCAGCCCAGAGTCAGGTTATAAAAGGGCTCAAACTTAATAGATCCTACCCGAGTCTCACCCACTGCCTGTTTGCTGATGACACGGTCATCTTTGGCGAGGCCTCGGTGAGCGAGGCAGAAAAGATCCTTAGCATCCTAAATGATTATGGATCGATCACAGGCCAGGAAGTCAACAGGGAAAAATCATCAATGTTCTTCAGTTACAATGTGCCAATCGATGAACAGGAAGGGATCGTACAAACATCGGGGTTCGCGGCTTCTATCTGCCATTCCAAGTACCTTGGAGTGCTCACAGAGTGGGGAAGATCCAAAAAGGAAACTTTCTAGTTCCTCCTTCACCGAATGGAGACCAGAGGTGAATCATGGAAGAGCCTACTTTTTTCTCCCGCGGGAAATAGGTCCTACTCAAGGCTATCTTCCAAGCCATCCCCTCCTTCATTATGTGTCTGTTCCTCCTCCCATGGTCGACAACGAAAAAAATGGACGACATGCTCAAGAACTTCTTCTGGGGATGCTCCTTGTCCAAGAAGACCATCCAATTGAGGGCCGGACACGTGCTTTATGCCCCGAAAGAGGAGGGAGGCCTTGGCTTCCGACCTTTCCATACCTTCAATTTAGCACTTCTGGCCAAACAGGCATGGAGAGCAATCACAAACCCGGACGCCCTGTGGGTCAAGGTACTTAAAAGCATCTACTTTCCACACTCAGATTTCTTGAATGCTAAGTAGGGAGGTAAGGCTTCTTGGATCTGGGCGAGCCGGTGGGAAGCCAAAAATGGATGAACACAAGGAGTGATCCGAGTAATCGGCAACGGGAGGTCCACCAGAATGTTCCAAGACCCATGGAGATTCGACCGAGCAGGATCCCTCCTACAGTTTGACTGGCCTGATGAGTCAACTGTTGACCAATTGATTGATGGGATCTCTAGAGAATGGAATTTTGACATGCCTGCTTATTTCCTTAGCCCACAGGACATGAGGCAGGTTTTTGCCACCCCTATTGGCCCTGACTCCCTTGAAGTCTTCTGGACAAAGAGATTCACGGATCATGGCTCCTTTATAGTGAGATCGGCGTTCCATCTCTTTCATAACCAACTATGTTTGTTCCAGGGCCAGCTGACTATTTCAGTGTTAAGTAAAGAAAGATGGAAGTGGCTTTGGAGCCTCTCCCTCCCGCCGAAGCTGAATTTTTTTTGTGTGGAAGTGCACTAAAGGAGCCCTGGCGTCCAAAGAAAACCTACACTCAAGGAACTACTCTACAACCAAGAGATGCCCGCTGTGCGCGGCCCCTTCAGAATCGGTCCATCACATTCTCTTTTCGTGCCCCCATGCGGCAGAAGGGTGGGGGCAAGATTGGCCATCTCTTGCAACTCCTCCCCCTCTCACCCCCATTTTTGGAGTGGCTTGACTCTCTAAAAACCAGGTACCCAATCTGCTCCATTCAAAAGATTATCTTCCTTATGTGGCAGACATGGAGAACGAGAAATGAGCGCATTTTCAGGAACAAAGTACCATGGCCCCCATCCACGGTCTCAAAGGCCACACTTGCCTTCCACCAGTGGACTTTCTGTCCCAGGAAGTTGAGATACACTGTGATGGATCGTTCTTCAACGATTCCCAGGAGGCGGCTTATGGCGTTGTCGTTACGAACGGTCATGGTCAAGTTTGTGATGGGAAAGCTGAGTCCCTGCATTGTTTTTCCCCACTTGAAGCAAGCTAAAGCGTTACTTGAGGGAACTCTCTTAGCTGTCGACCTTCACAAGCCATGCATTGTCCGTTCTGATTACATTGGCCTGATCCAAGCGCTTCAGGGACACTCTAAGTCATGGCCTTGGCGTGCAGCAACGTGACTTGGCATCATCAAGAAGACCATTGAAGCTCACCCGATGATCAAGATCAACCACATCAAAAGGAAGAATAACTCCAAAGCAAACTGGGTTGCTAGGACTCGTGCTAAAAATCAGTTGCCTTTCCAATGGGTTAAGGTCCTTGATGTTGTTGCCCCTCTTCTGTAACTTATTGGCTTCTGCCACAAGTAATGGAAATTTAATGCCCTTTGTCAAAAAAAAAAAAAAATTGGAAATGCTAGGTAGAGTAGAGAGGGGGAGAGAGAGAGAGAAGATCAGACAACAATTGCTGCCAAATTTCCAGCTCCCCCCACTTGCATTTCCTCCACGCCATTCAGCCCCTCAGCCAGGGAACATCGCCAATAATTCATTCTTACACCAAATATTCTCCTTCCCAGACAAGTATCATACACAATCCACCCCACCATATCTCCCCACGATTTGATTGTGATTCCATTTCCACCCCATCGACCACGACCGCTTCCCACTCACGGTCCGTCAACTCATTTGACCATTTCAAGATATTCGAGGACCGTAATTGCAAATTGCAATGAGTAAATTGATTAGGTTAAGAATATTAGGGACCATTCGTGCAATTTGATTTCAAGATTAGACTAGATTTTGATTTTCCTTCCTCTGCTAGTGGAGCGACAAGAGAGGGGACGGGGCGGTAAAAAGAACAGTGGAAAGTAGTAAGTAGTAATAATGTACAAATCCCAGCACAAAAAATAAAAAAACCGTTAAGCAAAAGTAACGGAAAAATTGCCGACTCTAGGCCTGGCCCAAAATTGCCTTTCCATTCTTTCTTCTCTACTGCTTCTTCTTCCATCATTCATTGGATTCATTCCGACTGTGGCAAATTTGTACTGAAAAGCAAATTTTTCGTGGGGCTGTGGTCCTTTTACTCTTTACCAGTCTAGAGTCCTCTCAACTTTTTTCTCCCTTTTCTTTTTTTTGCTTTACTTTTTTGAGTTTTTCCCTTCTCTGCTACTCCTCCGACAACGACGGTGAACACGGCGCGGAGACGGATTGAGACATCGGCGGGGAGGGCGACGGAGACGGCGAGGACGGCTCTGAGATCGACATTGGCGTCGGAGATGCCGATGACGGCGGAGACGGTGACAGAGATGGCGAGGAAGAGATGGATGATGATGTGGACGAAGCGGTGGAGAGACTGCTGCAGCTCTCACAGCTTTCTCGTTGCTTCCTCTTGTTGACCCGCACGCTCGGCTCGCTCGTCGCCATGTAGCCTCGAAGCCGTGCGACGTCCGACGGTTTCACCGGCTTTACAATGAAATCCTCCGCACCTTCCTCCAAACAACTGAAATACCAGAACAATTGAATGAATCAGGCCAGGTCAATTCCGAATTCAGGTTCTCGGCAAAATTTGGCAAAGTAAAATACAGAGTGGTGAGAGGGAGTGGATCAAGTACCGGTCGATTCGAGTCACGACATTTTCCGACGACATTATCACCACCGGGATCTCTCTCAGCGTAGAGGATCCCTTGATTTTCTTGAGCAAATCGTAGCCGGTCACCTCCGGCATACAGTAATCGGTGATGATCAGATCCACTTTGATTTTCAAGCTCTGAGGAAACAGAAATCACAAAATTGAACATCAGGCAAAAAAATTCCCACACGCCGATTCAACGAATGGAGTTCAGGAACTCGGAACAGAAAAATGAATGAACTCACATCAAAAGCACCAATGGAAGAGGCCTTCTTCTCTTCTCCATCTAATCCAAGGAACTGAAGAGCTCTTACGCCACTATCAACCACCGTAACTGCAGAAATTAAAGGGGGGAAAAGCGTTCAGAGCAGAGAAGAGAGAGAGAGCAGAGCAAAGTAGAGGCGGGGGAAAGAGGAAAAGGTAAGCCGACCTTTGTAGGAAGAATTGCGGAGCAGCCGCTCAATGACTTTCCGATCAATAAGGCTGTCATCCACGGCTAGAACATGAACTTCGTCGGCAACAACCGAGTCCGCAGGCGGCTGCTGCTGGGAGGAGACATCTCCGTCCGACCTCCACCGTTGAGAAGCGACGACGCCGTTTCTAGCCATAGCAACTATTAATACGCTTTTTTCACAACACGAGTACTGCTTCCCGTCGGAGAACTGTGCAGCGGTTGAGAGATTTTTGGATTAAAGGAAGAATGGAGGAAAGAATATAAAGGGGGAGAGGGGACGGGGAAGATAGATAAACAGAGAGGGAAGGGGGGGAAATGGTGAAGCTGTCTCTGTCCACTCTCTCCAAATCAAATCTTTCTCTCTCTAGCAAATCTTTGAAATCTGCTCTCTCTCTCTCTCCCACCTTTCCCTCTCGCTCTGTCTCTGTCTCCCTCCATTGTTTGTTTTTAGTTTTTATTTCTCTTGTTTATAGAACTTTTCTTTTCGTTTTTGTTTTACATTTTCCAGCTCTCACTATTATACGATTGGGATTCTGAAATCCACTTTCTTGCGATCTCCTCTATAGTATTATCTCTCTTTTTAATTTTCTTTTCTTCCTTCTCGTGTGGCGGAATGAACAGAAAAAGCTAGCCAGAACAGTGGGAGGATGCGTGATCTTTGGGATGATAATAATCAAACGAATGATATCATTTCAACATTATGTTGATGTGCTACTGTTTTATAATGGAGCTCTGGGCTGATTTTATTTCCTGAATGAAAGAACGAAATAAGTCAACAAAATACATGCATATGATACGAGATCGGCATGATTTTTTTTTATATAATTTGGTTTGATTTTTTTCTTTATTTTAGTAAATCATGAATTTGTTATTGTTCAGATTCATATTCACCATGAGTCAAACATCGATGATGCATTTTTGAATTTCGAAATCTGTGATTTTATTCATTGGAAGTGGGAGGTAAATGAAACAATTAATTTGTTTTCAGCATTTTTATTGTCGTTTTTTATTTTTAAATCCTAAACATCACTTGAAGATTGAACACTAAGAGTGGTTTAGTGTCGTTCATTATGTGTCACACAGAAACAATGACTAAACAACTTGGTGAAGGATTAGGGAACTCACCCCACTTCAAGGGACGATTTTTTTGTGCTTCCATGGACTTTTCATGAATGTTCAAGAGATTATTTTACATCTAGAAAGACTTTATTGTGTTTCCTCAAACGATTTTGCAGACGACCACTCCTTAAAAACGATAAGTACTAACCAACATTTTTGTCAATGTGGGGATATTCACCTCACTTCCATAGAAAATTGTGCAAGAACTAAGAAAGATTGTTGACTCAATTTTAATGGTGAATATCCTCAAAATCGTTCTCAAGTGAGATCATGGCTACTCCATTCCCACTTTTCACTCTACATTATCGGTCGAGATACGAAGAGGCTAGTGTTCCAAGCTAGAGGCAACTCAAGCGCATCACGATCTTACCGATAGGGCTCTTCTGGTTAGAATTTGGAGATCATTAAGGTGTGAGCTCGAGATTACTTTGACCTTGAGTGACTTCTTGGAAGATGAACCAGAGATTTCGATCCTCCGGGAAGTTGATGAGCGGTGGAGAAACCTTACCTATACAACGGGGAGAAGACTTCTCATCTTGTCTACATATGAGAGCTTAAATGTTTTATTGTCAACACAAATAACAGTCATATGGAGTTTCTATTAGGGAAAATTTTTTGGGTTAACACCTTAAATTGCCCCAAACTTTACACAAATAGACTAATTTGGTATGTGGTTTCTAAAATACACATACTAGGCTAAACTATTTACTATATAGACTACTTTTACCAAACTCATGTCTTGACCGTTAAGATGACATGACACATTGTCGTTAGTGAACGATCTTGATTATCAACTTGACGACCAACACATGGGTTCATCCAAATTAGTTTATATAGTGAATAGTTTAAACCAGTATGCGTATTTCATAAACCATGGGCCAAATTAGTCTATTAGTGTAAAGTTTGAGCCAATTTATGATACTAACGATACATTAATAGGTTGCTCATTTAGTTTTTGTTACAAGTAGGCATCGATTAGTTCAGTTTTTGTTTTCCGCTAGTTGTGTTAGGAAATTTCAAACAACAAGATGCATCAAAAGACTTATTTCTAGTGGATGAGATATCGTGACAAGATTCATTGCTGATGATGGAACAAAGATAAGGGGCGAAACACAAAGACGGGAATTTGCTAATCCAAATCAGTTGATTAACCTCTTCCCCAGTCAAGCTTTAATCAGTCCTCATTAGGCTTCGTTGTTGAAAACTTGAAGGAAATTAAACAGATGTTGACTGGCAATAGAAAGACTTCAGGAGCAATGTTTGTTTGGATCGTTAATTCACTTGAGAATGATACTTTTGCTACATTTAGTGGGGAGCGACTCAAGTCAGTAACTTTAGGGTGAGTAATCATGAGTAACCTGTCCACATCATCATGACATCAGCATCCCTCTGTCTCATGGAAAACCTTTTATCCTTTTCACTTTAATCTTTATCGAGTGATTTCTCTCTCGTTTTAAGTCGGAATTTAAGTAGGAGCATACCATATGGTAAGAAAGCGTACCATGATGGTATGAACATACTAAGACTGTAGGAAGGTTGAATACATGATAGTAGGAGTGTACTAACTGTCATTTATGACTTTCATCATTATTTACCCCAAGTTACCACCCCCATACCAGAGTGGTAAAGTATTATAATTTTTGGTCCTGTATTTTTTTTCACCCAGAAAATTATAGATCCAATAGTTCATGATGAACTCGTTCCTTCTGAGCAAATATTTTAAAAAACGACTTAAAAACAAAGAAGTTACCATATGGTATGGAGGTATGAAAAAAAATTCTCAATGAATATTGAAAATTGATCTAATTTTGAAGAGCACAACGAACTCGTTCCATCTGGGCAAAAAAAAAAAAAAACCCGAGTTAGAACGAAGAAGATAAGATTCGATTAAGAAACCTAGGAAAACTAAAATACCTTTAATTCACAACTCTAAAATCTGGATTTTCTGGACCCACTTAGATCTAAAGATCCAAATTTAGTTACTTCATATGTCGTAACCAATGGTTAATGAACGTATCTTCAGCCTATTTAGTCCCTTCATAATTTATGGAACTCGATGATTCTTCGCTATATTTTTTGTCCTTGATTATACATGCGCTAAAAACAATGACAGCAAATTATGTGACTTTAATTTATAGGCAGCAAAATTCAGGGCTCCTGAAGTTTAATATATAAATAAACGTGAAGTAGTGTTACTGTTACCTAGTGGTGGGTACCAAGCGAGTTGGTGAGTTTTGATTTCAAATAGACCCACCCACTTACTAGCGGATTGGAATAATTGTGACCCGTAATCCACTCACATACTTCTGCGGGTTGAATTGGTTGGGTGGCAGATGGGTTACGTTGCGGGTCAACCCGCAAAACAATTCTCCAACTAGCTATTAAGAAAGTTGACTAACATTTATAATACGTTCATAGTAAATTAGTAAGATTATATCAATACTTTGTGATTTTGATACAATAATAATTTATAGTTTGCATCCCAATATTTAATGGTTATTAACAATACTTTGTATACCAATATCCAATATCTTATGGATATTGCACAACACAATGACCAATAATAGTAGTCAAAACTATTATTTACTCTTCGCCTTTTGAAATATAAGGTCCGACTGTAGTGGAGTTCGAAAATATGATGAATATTCGATACTATAAGAAATAACATTTTTTCATGTAAAAATAGGATGCGGGTCATATGGGTAACCCGCAATCCATCCACCACCCACCCACATAAGTGCTGGTGAGAGATTTACCAATCCGCAATCCACCCACTGCGTGCGGATCGGATTATTTGCGGGTGGATCGATATCAATCCGCGGATTAACCACCCACGTGCCCACCCCTATTACCTACCAATTTTGCTAATTGATACCCAAATTTAATTATATTACAACTTAGTCACTATAATGTACATATTACATTTTGATATCTCAAAATTAATTTTAATGTAAAATCATTGAACAATTATGTTTTGTTAATTTTTATTAAATTTTCGTACCTAATACATATTTGTCCAATGTTTGGATTTCATTGGAATCCATGAATCCAATCCACCAATCCATGAAAGTATAAATTTAGTTTGTACAATACAAGATGTTGTATCACTCAACTGTAGAAGAAGATTCGACCAATTTATATTTGCTCATTACGTGAAATATTAAATAAATAATAAAAGAGAGATGGCTCTAAAATATTGCAAGAGCAAATTTATAAACTCATTTAGTACATTTATGGGGGCACTAAACAAACGTATGCTTACTACATGTAGCAAAACATGCGATATCTACATAAGCAAGTGTCAATAAATTGCTACGGTGAAAATGGTTGATTGTTGTACTGACGGTCTCCATCATCTACTTCCTTTTCGTATAATTTTTCACTCGCCTAGTCGCCTTCCATATCCCTTTTTTTATTTCTTTCTTGGCCTTCTTCGTCTAACCCTAATTAGTATACTATTTTTATGTATTCTAATAACAAGTATGAACGGGTCCATACACCACTCACCAAAAGTCTAGAGAACTAATAATCGAATCACGAACCACTAAATTTTTCAGCTCAATGTCGAGTCCAATTAAAAATAAATATACACGGTTATTACTTATTAGAAAGTCATTATTTCCCACTATGAGATTTGAAGGCGTGAAATTTTAAGCGAGTTTCAGTTTGTATTTATTTTGCTTCTCTCTAGAGTTTTTCTTTTTCACCGGACTAGAATTTTCAACAATTATACATGGAATGTTTGGCTAGATAGGTATCTACACATATCAAATAAATAGTTTCCATTTTTCTAATAAAAAAGTAAATAATTATCATCTTAAATACATCACTACAAAAGGAATTATGTCTCAACTATGCAAATTACAGTTATGTACCTAAACTTACTAAATCTTTAGATTTATAACCTTCCTTATTTTTTGGCATATAAGTCCTCAAAATATTGATGGAAAATTACATTTTAGTACCTAAATTTTTTGTGTATTAGATTTTGGTAACTAACCTTTTGAAGTTCTACAAATAGGTCTAATTAATTATTTTTGTATGTGTAATTAAAACACCATCGGGTAAATGGGTATCCATACCCAACTCATACACCTTTAGATTATGGAAGTAAATATCCATACCCTATCCAAACTCATCTACAAACTTCCATACCCATATATACGTCACTCATACCCAACAGTGGCGGACCCAGGATTGTCGGAGAGGTCTGTCGCCGATAAAATCCACTAATAATTAAATTAAATAAATTAAGTAGAAACTAAAAGAAATTAATTCATAAAGTTCACAATGTCATGTTTACAACGAACCACGACGACTTTTCATCTGTTGAAATGTCTCTAAAATACATTCATCGCTTATGTTGCAAAACAAATCTTTTTCAATATACACACCTAAAAAATCATTCATAAACTGGTCACTCAACTGATTTCGAATATCGTTCTTGATTATCTTTATAGCTGAAAATGCTCTTGCGCAACTTGCAGTTGGAACAGGTAAAGTCAACACCAACTTCAACAGCAAGTAAACTAAAGGATAAAGAGTGTCCGCCTGGGCTACTGGCCATTTGACCTGTGGATTTTTTCTCTCTTTTAATTATAGACCCAGACCCAACACACATCACACACATATAT